TTTTAAGGATCCTAATAATAATTTTTTTTAAAAATAATAATAATTGTTTATGGCTGCGAAACATAAAATGAAAGTCATTAATTGGGTAAACCAAAATATCAACGTGTAGGCTTATAATTTGTTATAACCAATATGCAAATGCTGCTTAGGGAAACTGATGAACTAATGGTGATGATGATGATGACGACGATGATGGTGATGATCATGATTATGAGGATGATGGTGATGATTATGATGACGACAATGATGGTGATGATGATGATGTTGGTGATGGTGATGATGATGACGACAATGATGGTGATGATGATGATGTTGGTGATGACGGTGATGGTGATGATGATGACGACAATGATGGTGATGATGATGATGTGGTGGTGATGGTGATGATGATGATGACGACAATGATGATGATGTTGGTGATGATGATGACGACAATGATGGTGATGATGATGATGTTGGTGGTGATGGTGATGATGATGACGACAATGATGATGATGGTGATGATGATGACGACAATGATGGTGATGATCATGACGACAATTATGGTGATGATGATGACGACAATGGTGGTGATGATGATGATGATGTTGGTGATGACGGTGATGGTGATGATGATGACGACGGTGATGGTGATGATGATGACGACAATGATGTTGATGATGATGACGACAATGATGGTGATTATGATGACGACAATGATGGTGATGATGATGATGTTGGTGATGACGGTGATGGTGATGATGATGACGACAATGATGGTGGTGATGATGATGATGTTGGTGATGACGGTGATGGTGATGATGATGACGACAATGATGGTGATGATGACGACAATGATGGTGATGATGATGACGACAATGATGGTGATGATGATGACGACAATGATGGTGATGATGATGACGACAATGATGGTGATGATGATGACGACAATGATGGTGATGATGATGACGACAATGATGGTGATGATGATGACGACAATGATGGTGATGATGATGACGACATTGATGGCGATGATGATGATGATGATGGTGATGACGGTGATGGTGATGATGATGATGACAATGAGGGTGATGATGATGACGACAATGCTGGTGATGATGATGACGACAATGATGGTGATGATGATGACGACAATGATGGTGATGATGATGATGTTGGTGATGGTGATGATGATGACGACAATGATAGGATGATGATGGTGATGAGGGTGATGGTGATGATGATGACAACAATGATGGTGATGATGGTGATGATGATGGTGATGATGATGATGACGACGATGATGGTGATGTTGATCATCATGACGACAGTGATGATGGTCATGAGGATGACCGCGGTGACGGTGATGATCACAATGATTATGATGATGACGATGATTATGATGATGATCATGATGATGGTGATGATGATGATAATGATGATTATGATGGTGATGGTAGTGATAATGATCATGGTGATGATGATGAGGATGGTTATGGTGATAGTGATGATGGGGGGTGATGATGATGGTAATGATGATGATGATTATGATGATGATTATGATGATGATTAGGATGATGATTATCATGATGGTGATGATGAAGATGATGCTGATGCTGATGATGATGATTATTATGGTGATAATGATGGTGATGATTATGATGATGATGATGATTATGGTGGTGATGATGATGATGATGATGGTGATGACGATGTTTATGATGATGGGGATGATGATCATGATATTATGATGATGATGCTGATTATGATGATTATGATGGTGATGATGGTTATGGGGATGATGATGGTGATGATTATGATGATGATGGTGATGATCATGATATGATGATGATTAAGACGATGACCCCAATTTGTGCTTAAAAATACAATTTTATAAACAGGTTTTACTTTCCGCCCGTTTTGTCATTTATATTTAGGCGAGCTAGTTATAAATAAAGAAATTTATAAAATCTACTCTTGATATGTTTCTTCTATCTTATGTTTACAAATGATTTCCTTAGATGCATCTTGGTGGCGACACTGTGAAACTGAAGTTTTTTGTGTTGACAATGACAATTTTTTTTAAAACTTGTGTAATCATGCTTAATTTTTTCAATTTTTCTCTCGTTTTGTTCAGGAAGGCATTTGCTCATAATCAACACCATCGTCATCATTCATTGACATTATCGTCGTGATTCATAAACATCATCAACGTCATTCGTCGACATCATAGTCGTCATTCATCGACATCCTCGTCATCATTTGTCGACATCATCGTCGTAATTTATCGACATCATCGTCGTCATTTATCAACATCATCGTCGTCATTTGTTGATATCATTGATCGACATCATCGTCGTCATTCATCGACATCATCGTTACTATTTGTCGACTTCATTGTCATCACTCATCGACATCATCGTCGTCATTCATCGATAATCATCATTATCATTCATCGACATCCTCGTCATCATCTAAGTGCCTTATCTTCAGTGTCTTCTCAACCCATTGGTCCACTGGGTCCCAGGAGCATAGGCAGGACTTTTCTTTCACGCCTTCATGCCTATTGGGCATATAGGGCTAGACATATACTTCAAACGGCACTCAGTGGGAGATGTGGTCAACATCACACCGACCGCTTTTACTTCATAGGATTATACTTGGTACCCATTCAAGGCTGGGTCGATCTGGGAGCCAAGGTCAATTTGAAAAAAGTCCCGCTCTGTCGGGATCAGAACCCAGGACCTTACGATCTGCAGGCAATCGTCAGTCCAATACACCACGGGGCTCCCACGAGCATAGAAGCTCCACAATAATCGGAGTACCGGTATAGACAGACAGACAGACAGACAGGCAGACAGACAGACAGGCAGACAGACAGATATGATTCGGGCCAGAGTCTTTCGAATAAGAAGACTGGGCTCTTAAACGTTCAGATAGCTGTCTATCCTTAAAAAAAAAAAAAACAACACCGGAGGGTAAAGTTGAAGACAAGCGTGCAAGAGGCTTAAAGAGATACAAGTGGGGAGATACAATTAAGAGATGATCGAACAGGGATCTCATATAGTGTACAACAAGGACGGAAAAGCTATGGGTTTTGGAGATCTATCACATCAAACGTTAAATATAGAGACCACACCTAACTAATTGATTTACTGGTTGATTGATTGATTGATTAAAAACCGGTTAGCACTGCGCTGGCTGTTAAAGATGAGGACGGAGCTTGCATGGGAATGCACGGAGTGCTGTGATGTCAATTCTTGATTCAACTCAGCTCAAACCGGTTAGCAAAAGGATCCTTCATATGCCAGTGTGGTATCGCAAATATGATCCCAAAGTCATTTTTATCGAACAGTCAGTATTGCGTGAGTGATGCGGTTAACAACGCTCCCGTCGTCTTTACTTTACATGACATTACCCGGTATTTCCCCGAGTGGGTTCCGGGGCCCCATTGTGGGGACAACAAGAATAGACCCACTGCCGGTACTGCCTTCCCAAAAGCATGTCGTAAGAGTCGACTAATTGGGGAGCTTCCTTTGAAGTCGGAGTGCATCTGCCAGAGAGGCAAGGAACCAACAGTCTGTATTCAAGAGAATGAGATCTGTAAAACTGATGCACACGCAACACTCAGGTTCTGGAGCAGGACTGCAGTTCAATAGTGGACGAGCAACCAGAACTTTCCGCCAGCGTGTACAGCTGGTGAACGCAAAGAAGAAGAAGAAGAAGATTACCCGGTATTCATTTAGACTAGGTCAACCTGCGCAGAACTGGTTTTAAGGTTACTTGCGTATCCTTTACAGGACGTTGCAGAACCAACCCCATCAGCCCCTGGCTGTTGTGTGGTTTCACTAGGCAAATTTACGTCCAGTAGTTCACATCCTTTCACAGTGAAATCTGGAGTAAGACAGGGGTGTGTCTTATCACCACTGCTGTTTATCACCTACATCGACAGTATATGCAAGAATGCCAAGCCCATGAATGAAGATCTTAGTAAGATCAACGAATTACTCTTTGCAGATGACCAGGCCTTGATAGCAGATACAGCCATGAAATTGCAACAACATCTAACATCCATGAATGAAGAATGTAAAACAAATAATATGAGAATCAACACTGAAAAGACAGAAGTAATGTCAATAGGAAAAAAGAAGACAGATCTAAACATAACAATAGAATACAAAGGCCTTAAACAGGCATCTGAGTTTAAATATCTGGGAACTACATTTACCGAAAATGGGAAATTGGATAAAGAAATTGACATTAGATGCAGTAAAGCAAACCAAGTATTGGGACAGCTAGCCCCCCTCTACAGCATAAGACAATCCCAATCAGCACAAAGAGACATCTTATTCAAAGCATATTTATTCCAACTCTGTGCTACCAGTGCCAGACATGGTCACTCACAACAAACCATAAAAGAAAATTAGTAACCACGGAAATGAGATGTCTGAGAAGGGCTGTAGGAGTGACCATAAGAGATAAGATCAGAAATGAGATCATAAGAGAACAAGTCAGCACAGAACAATTCTGGATTACATACAAAGACAGCAAGTGAAATGGTTTGCCCACTTAGAGAGAATGCCTTGTGACACCATACCATACAAAGCATACATGGGAAGAGAAGAAGGACGTAGAGCACGGGGTAGACCAAGAACAAGATGGAAGGATAACATCAGAGAAACTCTACAACAGCACGATGTGCCTATGGTCGAGGCAGCCAGAAGAGTTAGAAACAGAACCTTATATCTCCCTCGACACCCACAGCGGTAAAAGAGGAAGTGAAGAAGAAGAAGAAGAAGTTTGCCATTGCCTCTGGACGGTCGGCTCCCTGATACCACTGTCGAAACCAACGCAAGGTTGTGGCCCGCAGCTGGGATCGAAGCCGGTACCCTGGCATTACGAAGCGTTCGCATCGACTTAGCCACAGAGCCGACAAGAACTGGTTACGGTGTTGAAAAAGGAGAGTGTCACAGAGCGGAACTCTTCCTGAAGGAAGTTAGATTGTTGATGTATTTGCCAACATGGCGGTTTTCGACTACCTGAAACTGTAAGTGGGCGTCTTACATTCTGAACCAAAATCTGGTCTTCTCTGGCGTATCTTGTTCCGAAATTTGAAAAATTTAAAAGTTTATTCAACACTGTTCATGTCGTGCTATATTGATTGCAGTTGCGCTTTCTGTACTATGTGTTATAAACTGGTTTAATGTTTACATTTACATGCATTATGCATTTTTCTGTAATTTATAAATAGAAACCCGCTTCATATGGTCTGTTAAACTGAAAACTAAACTGACTAACTATATAGTATAATCGTCACTATCTAAAAACTATGAGAAAGTTGATTAAACTTGAAGGTGAAGCACTATGAACTGATAAACCACTTTTATGAATATGCAAGAAATTAACGCTGCTGCTAACTGAACTGTCATGATCAGGCTATCATTTGGGGTCCCAACTTCTTTACAAATGGGTCATCCCAATATTGCCCTTTTTGGCTTTCTTCCGAATAAGGGTCCCAAATTATAGAGGCCAAAAATTTACCCTAACAGGGCCGCAGTCACATGTAAATTGTGGAATTCTGGCAACTTAAATTGCGCACTTCCAGAAACTACCGCCAGTGCCGAGAGTATCCCCCACGCCGCTATGCGCTGTGTGGATTGGGGCTAAACTAGATGGCTGGGGCTCACGAGCAGCAGCTACTGCATCTCCTGCAGCTTCCTTCAGTTTATTTGTTAGTGAGTCCCAGCCATCTAGTTTAGCCCCACACCACGCTTAGTGGCGGTGGGGGAAGTCTGCAATTTACATGTGACTGAGGCCCTGTTAGGGTATATTTTAGGCCCCGATAATTTTTTTTTCTTTCGAAGATAGCCCCCTTTTCTTGTACCAATGAGAACCACAGCACATCACAAAAGCCCTTCGCTGTCCTGTGTGAGAGAAGCCAGACAGACAGCAGCCCTAGCATATCCGATGCATAAGACAGCTGTCAGACATGCTAATGTCAAAAGTCTTTCACTAGAATTGCAAATCGGGCTATCCTCCGAATAACAGTCCCAAATTATTGAGGCCGAAAATATACCCTAACAAGGCCTCAGTCACGTGTCAATTGCGGACCTACATGGCCTATACCGCCACCGCCGAATTGCGAACTTCCGGAAACTATACTGGCTGGGACTCACGAGCAAATAAAATGAAGGAAGCTGCAGGAGATGTGTTAGCTGCTGCTGTTAGGGTGTATTTTCGGCCTCGATAATTTGGGACCGTTATTCGGAGGATAGACGCTAATCGTAATTGATGGAAGCAGCAGCAGCTTCGACAGACCAGCAGGCACACTTGCATTACTGCATGAAGCACCTCACAAATAGTGTGGAAACCAGCCAGTTACCATTTTCTGGGTATGCAGTTCATAGCTCACATCTCTGGCGGCATAGACAAGTGTTCCCCATGAAATCCATAGCTCACAGTATCACACCGAACGCTCATAACAGTAGCTTTCTGACAGAACCAATTTTGCTTTTATTTTGTTTGATGTCCCATCCATTTTTCCATGTGACAGTGCAAAAGCAGCTTTGAGAGACCAGCAGGCACACATGCATTACTGCATAAGGCACTGCACAAATTATGAGGAAACCACCATTTTCTGGGTATGCAGTTCACAGCTCACATCTCTGGCGGCCTAGACAAGTGTTCCCCATGGAATCCACAGCTCACAGTATCACACCAAATGCTCAAATCAGTAGCTGGCTGACAAAGAACAAGCTGCTACATGATGATGATGATGATGCAACTTCATTGATTCTACAACTTGGGTTTTTCCTTATGGGACACTCGGGTGGTAGAGGTCTTGAGAAATCTAATCCAACATTACCTCACTGTGACACTTCTGAACAGAGATGTACATGTTTCAGCATCTGTGAGTTTGGCGAATCATCAGATGACTCGCTCACAGTAGATACCTCATAAAATTAACCAGCTTATTTCATGTGTAATTGCTGTTAAAAAAAATGTTTGTCAGTTGCTTAATGTGGAGTTTTGCTGCCTTTCCTTTCAGTTCCTTAATGTTTATTTTGTAAATTAGAGATGTTTTTAAAATATTTTTAATTTTGGTAGCCATATAACATCAGAGAAGTTCATTATTGAACCAATTGTTGGAACCACTCGTAAAGAGGATCTGCTGGTTATTGATCGAGTAACTCAGGATATCAGTTTACAAGGTAAGCCGCAGGTTCTCATCTCATCTTTACGTGAGAAAGAGCTACATTTACAACTTTACGCATATAAATAAATATTTATACAATAGGCACAGTCAATCTTTTCACATTTGTGGAGTTTGTGGAGCTATTCATCTGTTACCTCCCTGTGTGGGTTCCGGGGCCCCATTGTGGGGAAAACAAGAATAGGCACATTGCCTCTCCAACAATTATGTCGTAAGAGTCGACTGATTTGGGGGTTTCCTTTGAAGTCGGGGTGCATCTGCCTGAGAGGCAAGGAACCAACAGTCTGCATACAGATAAGTCAGATCTGTAAGACGGATGTGCACACAACACTCAGGTTCTGGAACAAGTCTTTTCCAGAGGTACTTGAACAACCAGAACTCTCCGCCAGAGATTACAGCCGGTGAACGCGAAGAAGAAGAAGAATCTATTACCCACATTAGAAGGAGACGATCTACATTCATTGGTTACGTCATGGGGAGAAAACTATAGTAGATGGTGACAGAGGGAAGGTTGAAGAGGCAGAGGAAGACCAAGAGAGAAGATGCTCAATGGTTTGACATCAGGGCATGGAAGATCAGTTTTGTCAGAAATGATTAAACGCACATGAGACAGGAGGCAGTGGATCAACATGGCTACCAATGCGATACAGTATTGACTATAAAAAGAGGAAAGAGCTGTTGATGAGGGGATCAGAGCCCCTTTGGATCGGTCTGGAGTTCTGTGATGATAGTCCTCATTGGTCACACAGAAATATAAATTGTTGGAGAACCTTTCAATCCCTTGAAATAGCATCTTCTTCTTGGCGTTGATTGACTGTAAACTCCAGCGGAAAATTCTGGTTGTTCATCCATTTTGAGACTTTTGTCTCCTATTAGAACTTGAGTTTTGTATGCAAGTCTGTTTTACAGATCTGACCCTACTTGTATGCGGACTGTTGATTCCATGCCTGTGAATAGGCAAATGCACGCCAACATTGAAATCAACACCCTTACTTAGTGGCTTCCTATGACATGCTTGTTAGGTAGGCGGTTAGTCTGTTCTTTGTTCTCCAGCATGGAGACCTGGAACCCACTCAGATAATTTGAAATAGGAGGAGAAATGCCTGTCCTAATACGTGTATTAATCTGTATATTTGTATATGTGTGTTGAGGACCAGATATCTTTCATTTGTCATGAAACTGTAGTTGAATTCTGTGAGAATTCTGTGCCTTATGTCCGGAGGTGACATAAGTAGGGTTACCATATCGTCGGGACAGTATCGTTTGTAGGAAGGCTCAGACTGTCAGTTGATACTAAAGAAAAACCTACCTTTAAAAAAAATTATATTTTTGTATGGATTCGATATGTGTTACATTCCCAATTGCCTTTTTTTACCACCACCCGCCGCCATTTTTGTAAAGGGCAATAAATGTGAGCCAAGTCTGTCAAAATTCATGGGCCTGGAAGAGTTAAGGTTGCTTTAAAAACGACAAAGTAAGGGTACATTAAAAGTGAAAAATGTAGGGTACATTAAAAACGACAAATTAATGGTACATTAAAGAATATCTAAGGGTACATTAAAGATGACAAATTATGGGTACGTTAAAGACGACAGATTAAGAGTGTGTTAAAGACGATAAATTAAGGGTACGTTAAAAATTACAAATTTAGGGTACGTTAAAGATGATAAATAAAGAGTACGTTCTTTCTTCTTTTCTCGTCTCACTGATACCAGCTTGTAGCCTATTGTCATTGGTAAGTTAAAGAAGACAAATTAAGGATTCGTTTGAATGACAAATTAAGGGTACAGTAATGACGATGAATTAAGAGTACCAGGTCTTTTTTTTTTCCTGGCCTTTATCCCTCCAGTGAAACACAGGTCTACTAAAAGTATGTCACAACCAGCAGCAGCGTTTCAGAAAGAATGACTAAACCAGGATACAACAGATGTTGATGGTTTGACTTTCATGTTTTGGTTATGAATGATTTCCTGTGCTCTTCTTCTTCTTTGTTCCCCGGCTGTAAGCTGCAGGGAAGAGTCCTGGCTGTTCCTCGATTTGGACTTGGGCTTTGTGCCAGGGCCTGAGTTTTGCGTGTACATCCGTTAAACTGGCTTGTTTATGTGCAGTTGGTTGTTCCTTGCCACTCGGGCAGATGCACTCCAAACTTTGAAGGAAGCTGCCAGTTGGTCAAATTCTTTGACATTGTTATCGGAATTGAAACTCTTCGCTTGGTGCTGAAGATAAGGACTGAGCACTTATGGGAGTGTCCTGAGTGCTGTGATGTCGATTCTTAATTCAACATTCTATGACAATGTTTGGGAGGCAGCGAGTCTGTTCTTATTTTCCCCACAATGGGGCCCCGGAACCCACATAGAGAATGATTTGACATGATATGTATTTTCCAAAATAAGCTGTTCAAGGAAGTATATACTTCTGTTTTAGCTAATGAGGACCAGATTCCGGCATCTGCCATAACTAAAACTATCTATGGCATTGTGGGCATCATCAAATTAGTGGCGGGTAAGTAGCAGTTCTTTTTTTTTTTTTTTGTTGAGTGGTCTGAGTGAAATATACTCTTTAACAGGAGCGGAATTGAGCAAAGCTTATGTTTCTTTTTTTGCCTTTCTATCCCCCAATGGAGCATAGGCCCTCAACCAACTCACGCCAATTTGTTCTAACCTTTGCTATCGCATGCAGTTCTCTCCCCATGTCCTCCCCATCTTTCTAACTTCATTCTCCAGCTCCCTTCTCCGTGTGTTTTTTTGGCCTTCCTTTATTCCTATGCCCCTGTGGGTTCCAATGCAAAGATATTTTAGTTATATTGTTTTTCTGGTTTTCTGAATGTGTGTCCTATCCAACGCCAGCGTCTTTTCTTCACCTCTTGGTCCACTGGAGCTTGCTTAGTTCTCTCCCAAAGCTCTACAATAATGATTTTATCATACCATTTCCTAGGTGGGACGACCTGGACTCCTTTCGGCTTTCTCCACTATCATGTCATACTTCTTCAACTGGAAGTTGAATGTTTCTAGAGTTTATAAAATATAAATATTTTACTCAGTCAGTCTTGTGTGTATAAAATATAAATATTTTACTCTTTAACAGTCAGTTTTGTGTGTGTAGTATATAATCCCTCTCTGTGGCTCAGAGGTTCAATTCGTTTCACAATGTCATGACCATTGACATATCGGGGTTTGATTCCTACTATGTGGTTACCCAGTTATCACTAACTCTGTTACCACAAGTATCTCAAAGGGAGTAGTAGTTACATTTACATTTCTTAAAAAACAATATGTTCTGTGTCATTACCCAGTTATCACTAACTTTTACACTTACCACAGTATCTCTAAAGGGAGTAGTACCCAGTTACATTTACACATTTTGTTTACTTTAAAACAATATTTTCCGTGTCATTACCCAGTTATCACTAACTTTTACACTTACCACAGTATCTCTAAAGGGAGTAGTACCCAGTTACATTTACACATTTTGTTTACTTTAAAACAATATTTTCTGTGTCATTACCCAGTTATCACTAACTTTTACACTTACCACAGTATCTCTAAAGGGAAAACCCAGTTACAGTTACACATTTTGCTTACTTTACCACAGTGTTTTCTATGTGGTTACCCAGTTTACCTTTTAGCCTAACTTTTTGACATTTCTGTGTATTACATGTAACTTGTCAGCTCAACATTTCTCATCTTATCCGCTGTGTCTAATCTGATGCAGGCGATCAGTATTTCATACTTATGCTTTAACTACTATGTCTACTATGGAATTGACTTTAAATCTTCATTACTGGTGCCTGACCTTTTTTCAGGACCCTACTTGATTGTGATCACCCAGCGAAAGAAAGTGGGCGAGATTTCTGGACATATAATATGGAGCATTGCAAAAACGGAAGTTATCAGCTACAAGCGGTCACTCACACACTTGACAGAGAGACAGGTGAGATAATTACATTGTTCCTACTTTTTTTCTGAGTGGGTGTAACTTTTTCAACCCTGTCGCCCCGAGATTTTGCAGAACCAACACTTCTGTTTGGGTCCAGTTCCAAGAGGAAACCACTTAACTGACTTTGCTAGAGTGGTGTGTTTACAAGACCCCATGTTAATGCTATTGACTGTGTTTGCACCTGCTCATAAATTTAGGAGATCTGGGCATGAATATATTAGCTAAAAATAGCATTTGTGGGTGTTTTTATGTGAACCAAAAAGCTCTTTCAAAGACACGTTGACGTAACATTTTCCACTAAGCCTCAATAATAGAGATCATGGTGGCACAGCATGAGTCACCCAAGACATATTGAGTTTTAGACCTTAGGGAATATATTTCATTTAATGCTACACTCTGTATTTTTTAATTACATCCTTTACATACATACATACATACATACATACATACATACATACATACATACATACATACATACATACATACATACATACATACATACATACATACATACATCATACATACATACATACATACCCTACATACATACATACATACATACATACTACATACATACATTAAACATACATACATAATATACTACATACATACATACATACATACATACATACATACATACATACATACATTACATACCTACTACATACCTACATACATACATTCATGGTTACATTCTAGCATAATACATACATTCATTCATTCATTACGTCGACATACATACATAACACCTACTACATACATAGTACATACATACATACCTACATTGACATACATACATACAGACATACATACATTACATACATACATACATACACCATACATACATACATACTACTACATACATACATACATACATACATACATACATACATAACATACATCCATACATACATACATACATACATACATACATACATACATACACATAAATACATAAATACATACCTACATACATACATACAACATACATACATACATACATACATACATACATAAATACATACATACCTACATACATACATACATACATACATACATACATACATACATACATACATACATACATACATACATACATACATACATACATACATACATACATACATACATACATACATACATACATACATACATACATACATACATACATACATAATACTACATTCATACATACATACATACATAAATACATAATACATCCATACATACATACATACATACATACATATACATACATACATACATATAATACATACATACATGTGTATTAATATATGTATATATATATTCGTTGGGCTGGTCATGTGGCATGCATGCCAGATCACAGGCTCCCAATAAAACTCTTTTATGGTGAGCTGCAAAATGGGAAACGTTCCCAAGGTGGGCAAAAGAAACTCTTTAAGGACACCTTGAAGGCTTCACTCAAAGCAATTGGGATGAATGACACCAATTGGGAGGCTGCCTCTCAAGACTGAAATGCATGGCGTACAACTCTACACTAGGGCGTGGCTACATGTGAAGCAAACAGAACAGCAAGACTTATTAAGAAAAGGATGAACAGAAAGGCGACTGCAGGAGATCCCCTCCCTGGCACAATGCTCATTCCCTGTCCTCACTGTCCAAGAACTTTTCGGGCCCGCATTGGCCTCATCAGTCATCTTCATACTCATACTTGATGAAAAAGAGTGGTCATCATCATCTTGATAGACAACACACATATGCATATATACATATATATATTTTTTAAGTTTCAGTAAATAAATTATTTAAAAAGGTAAAGTGACTTGATAAAGATTTTTTTTTAATGCATAATTTTCTCCATTAATTTTTTTTCAAGTGTTCTGAGAGGCAACAGGGCTAATTTGTACCATTATGTTTGTAAGATGTCTACAGATGCTGAATCCACCAATGGGAACGATATTATATATTACTGCTGTATAAAATTGAAACAGAGAACAACAAAACAGTTACTAGTTAGTTAGTTAGTCTTTCCTCTTGTGTCGAGTGCGGCACATAGGGCAGAGGTCATGACTCTCCATGCATGGCGGTTCGTTGCAATCCGTTGTAGGTCTTGGATTTTAGTGGCGCCATGACGAGCCTTCCCTGATGATAGTTCTACGTAGGTTTCCCTTGGTCTTCCACGAGATCTTTTCCCCCTGTGGTGTCCAAATGAGGGCTTGGGTAAGGAAGTTTTGATTTTATCCATTCTAAGGGCGTGGCCGACATAGTTTCCAGCGGCGTTTTCCGTATAAAATTAGACACCATACTCTTGCCTGGATTCTTGCCTTATTTGTGTATTTTGTTCGGAAATCTGACCATTTGAAATTTAGTATTCTTCTAAGGCATTTATTTTCAAAACTGTCTAATTTAGTTTATTGAAGGCACTAGATGCCAGTGCTATTCTAAATGGTATTTCTGGTGCGGTATCTCCTGTAGATGACATCTTGCTCCCTAGATAAGTGAAACTGTTGACTTTTTCAAGGCTGTTGTTGTTCATCGTGATATCAACTGAACTGTTGGTAAAGTCTAGAATTTTTGTTTTTGCGGTGTTAATTTGGAGTCCAATTTGTTCTGAGAATTTCTGGAGTCGATTGATTTTTTCTTGGGCGTCTGTGTGTTCTGAACTCAGGAGTGCTGTGTCGTCGGCGAAGTCTAGGTCTTCCAGAATTTTGTCAACCCATGTAATGCCTAAATTACTAGTAAACTACATTAATTCATTAACTGGTGCCTGCACATAATAGAGGAAATTAAATAGTATTGCAGGTTCACTTATGTGAGAAGCTGTGAGAAAGAACTAAACAAATTTCAGGGAATCAAGAAGTGAGAAAAAGATGCTGGCTTTGGATAGACACACACCGGAAAAGGTAGAAAACATTATAACTAGAATATCTTTACACTGGAACCCAAAGGGACAGTAAAATAAAGGCAGACCAAAAAACAAATGGAGAAGGGAACTAGAAAGTGATGTTAAAAAGATGGTGAGGACAGGGTGAGCTGAACGCAGTAGCAAAAAATATGTTGGTTGAGGGCCTGTGCTTCATTAGGGGGAGGGGAACGGGGCGAAGGGAAATAAAGATTAAATGAAGAAGAAATGAGTTTTTGGCAGTGAAATATGTGCAGTATTATTTTATGGTCTACAGACAGCAATCAACAAGAGTTATCTTTCCTTGTTGGACATCATCCTTACTATGGAGAACTTCTACTATTCTGCAACATACGACATCACCCACACCATGCAACGACTGTACAACACCAGCCCAGATTTTCATTCCATGGCTTTACATGAAAGGGTTAGTTTTTACCTTTGTTACATAATGTGATTAGAATTTTTATGAACGTTTATTATTTTGAATTTTTATTGGTATTTACTGTAATTTTTATTTTAAACTTGTGTTAGTGTTTAGGTTATCTGTTATTGTTAGGCAGAACAGGACTAGAAAAGAAACAAGAAGAAGTGCACGTGATGGCGACGGCGGTCCGGGGATCTCATGCACATATTGTGGAAGATTCTTATTGGTGCCAGCTGATCTTGCTGGTCACGTCTGATTCCATGTTTCCCTATAGCACAAGGAAGCACTCTTGTCCGGGGGGAAGGAAGGGATAGGTGTCAACAAATCCTAGCTCATTTCAACGGCAGAAAAAAGTAACAGAACCTTCCTTTTTTTCTTTCAGGCCGACCAAAGATTTATATGGAACTCTCATGTGCTGAGGGAGCTGTCGCAGCAACCAGACCTGGCCAGGTTCTGCCTGCCCATCCTTCTAGGCTGTATCCTTTCTACAAGTACAGCTTTCAAAGTGATGTTTAACTCATTTGGTCCCATAAAATATTGTACAAGTCGCCACGGTTTCATAAGAACAACACATGGAAACAAATGTCTGCAAATCGTGTGTGGCGTCGGAAAAGAAGGAGCAGAAGTTGCCACTAGGGGAGGCTGATTTATGCAAAGAGGGTAAATACAGGCAGAAGCAGCAGTTGGCAAATCTTCTTCACTGATCTCTGGTCACGTGCTATATCCATTAGAACTATCCATTATCCAACTAGAATGTCAGACTGAGGTCTTCTGGGTTGTCCCCAAAGCTTAGCTGTCAGGTCTACTGGGTGTTTGGCCACATCTTGTTTCGCATCTCCTTCAAGAGAGGTCAGTTTTGCAAGACATATTCTAGTTTATGTTCTGCACAAAATGGAAGAAATTTTGCTAAACCATGTTTTATCTTATATGGGTCTGCCTCTCTTGACAGAGCAGCTGGTTTCCTGCAAGAGCTTTGCTCCAGAAACAGGCAGGGGTCTTTAAAACACTTGCAAAACAAAGGATCGTCATCATCAAATGCCTTGCCAACTGGCATGAGTGATCATGCCTCTCCATAATGCAATCTGGCATGTATCAGTTCGTGTGCTGACACCCCTCCATGCCATGACAAAAGGTTGTCAAGAATCTTCCTGCGTTGTCTTTCTATGTCTCTCTTTTCCCAGATCTTTCCAGTGGTCACAAAAATGAGTGATCATGCATGAATCAATCTGGCATGTACTTTCCTTCTTTCTCAAGAATCTTCCTGCGTTGTCTTTCTATGTCTCTCTTTTCCCAGATCTTTCCAGTGGTCACAACATGATCCACTTTCCTTCTTCTCAAACATGACCAGAAAATGATGACTGTCTCTTTCTGATGATTGTGATATGCTGTCTTCGAACCTTCGTCTTTTTCAAAACATCTGGGTTGCTCTTTATGGCTCTCTAATGATTTTTTGAGATTGTTTCCTACATGACCTTGGCTCCCATGTTGACCAAGCCTTGAATGGGTACCAGGTAAAGTCCAGGGAAATATAGGCGGCTTGTGTAATATTGACCACATCGCCCTAGCCTCATATTGCCGATACGCCACTGGCATGTAAAAAAAAGGACCTTGACTTTTTTGAATTTTTTTTTTTTACTTTCTGGTGGTGAGTTGATGTATGGTAAGCTAGGTATTGTGAGGGCCTTTTGGGAGTGGTTAACAGTGCAGAGGCACAGAAAGGTCATTATGGTCTGAGGAGAATGGCGCTGCGAGGAGTTGCCAGGGGATCTGGCAGACGATCAACACTCAGGAGAAGGGGGAGATGGATATACGATTATACAGGTTACCAGTGACGTCGGAATTGAAACTCTTCACTTGCTGCTGAAGATGGGGATGGAGCGCTTATGGAGGTGTCATGAGTGCTATGATGTCGATTCTTAATTCAACATTCGAGGTTCTGGCAGATGCTTGAGGCTCAGAGGAAAGGTAAGACGGACGTTTAATCAGAATGCTACTGGCACCATTAGTATCGGAACTCTTCACTGGCTGCTGAAGATGGGGACAGAGCGCTTATGGGAATGCCCTGAGTGCTGTGATGTAGTTCTTAAATCAAATCAATTCAACATTCCTTGACTTTTTTTTTTTTGACACATGGAGAGAAAAAGTTGCTGTAATTTCTTTTTAGTGTGTGTTGCTTTCTTAACCGTTATTCCAGTCATTAGTATTAATAATACAGAGGTGAACAACCACAGAATTGACTACATTCTTGTATCACGCCGCTGTATCTTCCGGGCAGGAACCCGGTTTAATGTCAGGGGGGTGGATCTACAGGGCCAGGTGGCCAACTTTGTTGAAACCGAGCAAATTGTGCAGTTTGAGGGCAATTCTTGTTCATTTGTACAGGTTGGTTTGTCAATTTTCATTTTGTGTGGGTGTGTCTGTGTGAGTGGTGTGTTTTAAAGTGAGTGGTGTGTGTGTCTGAGTGGTGTGTGTGTGTGTTGTGTGGTATATGTGTGTATGTTGGTGTGTGTGGGTGCAGAGCCAACCCACAACAAATTGGCACATGTTTTAACTGTCATTTTATATCACACATAATTCCTGTTTAGTTAAATGAATTTTCTTTCCTTAAATGACCCTTAACTTCATAGCTGCTAGATAAATGTATTCCTTTATTTAAATCACACATAAGTTCATAACTGTTGGTTTATTGTATATCTTTCATTTATAGCATACATAAGTTCATAACTGTTGGTTTCTTTTCTTTCTTTCATTTATAGCATACATAAGTTCATAACTGTTGGTTTCCTGTATTTCTTTCATTTATAGCATACATAAGTTCATAACTGTTGGTTTCTTGTATTTCTTTCATTTATAGCATACATAAGTTCACAACTGTTGGTTTCTTGTATTTCTTTCAATTATACCATACATAAGTTCGTAACTGTTGGTTTCTTTTATTTTTTAAATTTATAGCATACATAAGTTTATAACTGTTGGTTTCTTGTATTTCTTTCATTTATAGCATACATAAGTTCACAACTGTTGGTTTCTTGTATTTCTTTCAATTATAGCATACATAAGTTCGTAACTGTTGGTTTCTTTTATTTTTTAAATTTATAGCATACATAAGTTCATAACTGTTGGTTTCTTGTATTTCTTTCATTTATAGCAAACATAAGTTCATAACTGTTGGTTTCTTGTATTTCTTTCATTTATAGCATACATAAGTTCACAACTGTTGGTTTCTTATATTTCTTTCAATTATAGTATACATAAGTTCACAACTGTTGGTTTCTTGTATTTCTTTTAATTATAGCATACATAAGTTCGTAACTGTTGGTTTCTTTTATTTTTTAAATTTATAGCATACATAAGTTCATAACTGTTGGTTTTTTTATTTCTTTCATTTATAGCATACATAAGTTCACAACTGTTGGTTTCTTGCATTTCTTTCAATTATAGCATACATAAGTTCACAACTGTTGGTTTCTTGTATTTCTTTCAATTATAGCATACATAAGTTCATCACACAGCACACATAGAATGCAGTAATGTATCACACAAGATGCCGTCTCTAGCATAATGATGGCATTCAAGAGTTTTACTACACCAACACTCCGCATCATCATAAAACTTACCAGCGGCAACATGAAACGCAGCCTCAGCCATTCCTAGATCCTCGAGCTGTCACTGCCTCTGTGCCTGCGGCCACCGGCTCACTCTCACACTAGGGCTAGCAGTAAGAATTGGGCACTTTCCATTGCTCCTACTTAGCTTTGCCACAATTAATTGGTTGTATTACACAGACATAACCATCTTGAACTGACTAGAGACTTCCACAAACTTGTAAGTCTCTGCGATACTCACATTCGGGAGTCAGAACAATCACGAGGAATCCAACACAATGAACTGGCCAGAAACTACCATCCTGAGTCTCTTCGATTCACAATCGATAGCCAGACACCAACAAGACGTCTTCTCAGCAAGGCACACTGCTTCTCAACCCCTGATCCTTGAGACTTACCCGATTATATTCCCTGAGGGAGTTCCCCATGCATTCTCAGAGACATGGGAAGCACGTCAAGTTTCGCCCGACAAATTCTCTGTCTAAATGTTGACTTGGGCATCGTTGACACTTCATGAATTTACTGGCCAATATGCCCGTCTCAATTCACACTGATTCGACAGGCAACACATACAAAGGTTCATAACTATTATTTTATGCATTTATTTTATACCATTTTTATCTTCTGCAGACGAGAGGTTCAATACCAATATTCTGGTCTCAGAAAGCAAATCTAAAACGTCTTCCAGCTCCTGTTGTGATGGACATTGACCATGTAAGGTTGTCTATCTAGTTGACTACGTGTGCATGTTTTGTTGTCAGTTATCATTTTTAGGACACATTGTGGAAAGAAAGAAACTGGAAAACGTTGACCACTAGAAAGTTTGTGGAAAGAAGGAGAGAATGAACAAACAAACAAAACTTTATTTTCAGAATGTTAAGCATTTTACCCGCAGGCCCATCTGATATTCTTCCCTTCTGACCTCATTCCTTTCATGCACCATTTCATTTGTTCCATCTGTTAACAGATAATAATAATCATTGTGGACAAGAACTAAATATAATTTCAGAATCTAGGATGTGCTCGAATTATGCCTACATTTCTAAACAACAATAATTCACAGTAATTATATATCCTGGCAAAATATAGGATGTGTGTAAATTACTTGTATCCTTTAAGGAGGAATGGAAGATAACATGAGATTTTTTACAGCTTTTCGTCTTAGCGGTTGTCAGCGCATGAACTGATACAAAATGTTGGAGATGGCTGCTGCAAAATCAAGACAGCAAAGAAAACTCCCTTTAATATAACAGAGGCTTCAAGCCAGTTGAACGAGGTGCAAGTTTTTGTGTGTGTGTTGTTCTCTACATATTGAATCAAATCTACAGATTGATATTTGAAACATGAACTTGTAATATATAACCAGATTGTGACCGGTACCATCAGTATTGGAACTCTGCGCAGGCTGCTGAAGATGAGGACGGTGCACACATGGGAATGCCCCGAGCGCTGTGATGTCAATTCTTGACGCAACTCAGCTCAACTCTTTGTAACAGTTAGTAAAGATAAATCAATATTAACATATAATGGTGTCTTTATTTTCAGCTGTCGGCATTCCAGAAACATCTAGATCATCAGATTTTTCTCTACGGGGATCAAGTGATTATAAACCTGGTAAGAAAGATGAGTTAACTTAGTGGTTGATCTTCTCTTAGCATTCACTGGCTGTAAACTGAGGAAGATAAGTCTGGTTGTTTGTCCATGGGGACTTAAGTCTTGTTTCAGATCTTGAGTTTTGCCTGCACATCTGTTTTACAGATCCAGCTTATTTGCATACATTCTGGTGGTTGCTTACCTTCAGGCCGATGCACTCCGACTTACAAGGAGGTGTGAGGTTTTCAACAATGAAACAACATCATGGCACACAGGTAGTAACCCATAACTGCTCCGTTCTTCTTCTAACTCAAGTCTGAGTCTGAAGAAACTCAGCACAGTGCACAGGATCTATTGCACCGGTGAGGATCCGGAAATACTTTGGGTAGATTTTTAACTCCAAATTTGGTCCGGGCAGCGCCGTTAGGCTACTCTTTTTGATTTTTAACTACCACTGGAATGTTTTTTAACGTGCGCAACAATACACACGGGCGTCTTATCTCACTACCCATAGACCAGGCGGAATTATTAGAAGTCCAAGTCCACGTGAAAACTTACAAGGGGACACCTTTAATCAGTTGACTTTCACAACAAGCTTGTTAGGGGAACTGTAAGTGTGTTCTTTTTTTTTTTTTTCTAATAGTGGAGCCTAGGTAACCCACTCTGGTTTTTAATCAATTCTGGCTCAGATGATCTTCCATAGTCCATGTGGCATTGGCAGTCATGCAGTTTCTATCTGGCTCAATGATCTTCTCTTCCATGTCTCATGCAGTCGTGTTTTAATCAGTTCATGCAGTTTCTGTTCTGACTCAGATGATCTTCCTTAGTTCATGTGGCATTGGAAGTCATGTCAATGCACAAACTGCTGTCTTATGCACTTTCAGTCAATTCTGGCTCAGATGATCTTCCATAGTTCATGTGGCATTGGAAGTTATGTCAATGCACAATTCTGTCTGCACTTAAAGTCTTCACATGATCTTCCATAGTCCATGTGGCATTGGCTGTCATTTCTATCAACAACCTTCTGTCTCATGCACTTTCAAATCAATTCTGACACAGATGATCTTCCATAGTCCATGTGGGATTGGCAGTCATGTCTTTGCATAGCTTTCTGTCTCATGCACTTTCAGTCAGTTCTGACACAGATGATCTTCCATAGTACATGCCGTGTGGCGTTGGTAGTCATCTCTGTCCACAGCCTTCTATTTCATATGCTTTCAGTCAGTTCTGACACAGGTGCTCTTCCATATCATGATGTCAGTAAACACTTAACAAATGTTTATTGTTGTTTAACTTTTTTCTGCTAGGTTAATCAACATGGCTCAGAACAAGTTCTGGAGAAGAAGCTGGCCCAGGTGGTGACAACAGCACAGAACAGCCATGTCAGGTGAGGCTGGACATTTTTGTTGCTGTCTCATTAATGTCTGATCTGCTGGAGTCTTCCTGGCGAAGTAGTCAGGTTGTTTGTCTCGCTCTGTGAAGGTCATGGGTTCATTTCATGGGCGGAAAAGTTCGGTTTATGGTGCAGCTTTTACGGAGATCCCTGGGGATCGTTATTGGAGCTATGTAAGTTTGTGCTTTTTAATAATGCTTTTGGCAGACGGCTAGCTGTTCTGCAGGAGAGAGAGACCGAGCTATACGGAATTAAACTCAGTGCAGTTAAATCGATTATTTTGACTTTAACTTTATCTGCTGGAAGTATGTAATGAGAGGGCTAGATTTATAGTCTGTTATATGTGCCACATAACCTTTTCCCTCAGCCCCACTGGGATCTTGCAGTGGGACATTCAGTAGGCCATACCTAGGATCCCACGTGGTTTTGCTATAGAGCCAAGCAAGGGTCGTGTGTTTGGATCCTTGCTGGTGTAGGGGAGTTTATGCGCTGTTCTGAGAATCTCCTGGTTTGATCTGTGAATGGAGACTGAAGAATGTATGGAGTTAAAGAGTTAGAATCATGAAGATCGACTTGTTGGTTTTATCTTATACCTCTAGGCATCTCTCTGCAGAACGGCTAGCCACATAACGAGACAGTATCACAAAGCAGCTCGTGGCCAGTACTCGTGGATCTCGGAAAAAAATTGCACCAGTGAGCTGAACTGTGCCATCCATAAAACAGACCCATGACCTTCAGGTCATCGAAGCAAACAAGCTGAGCACTTTGCTATGGTGACCCCTATTATATGGAGATTTCCTGAGCAGTGAAATTGATAATTTATGAACCACTCCAAATCTGATAATGTTTTGTTTACTTGTCTGCGAGTCATTTTTAGTCACATAAAGTACTGTATTTACGTGTGTATAGGCCGCAAGCGTGTATAGACTGCACCCAGTTTATGAGACAACAGTTGTAGGGGAACAATTAGACGATAATTTTAGGGAAAAAACGATTCTTAGATTTACCGAAACAGTAGTACCTGTAAGCAGCGAAAGATGGACACCCTAAGAGTAAGTTACAGTTACAAATTTTAAGTTACAAGTGGTGCATTATGTGTAAATGAATTTAAAGCCAGTCAATGGCAGGACAGGGCACTTAATGGCATCAGATGACTACATGATTCGGTAGCGGGCAACAATGTCACAGCGACTTCCCGACACCTACCAAGAGAAACTGTTTGGTTTTAAAGACATGTTCTGAAGTTACAGAAGACCCACAACTATGACATGGGGGCAATAGGAAATGCAGATAAGCTTCTAATTATTCATACATTTTGTACAAGTGACATGTAGGTCAGATATCTCAAATATAAGCCACGCCCTATTTTGCCATCAATGATTTTCGGTTGAAACAATGCGACCAATACCCGCGTAAATACTGTAGTTTTTGTTACAAGATAAAATGTAGTGTTTTTGTTTTTAATGCATGCAGAATATACATTTGCAGATCAGTGTGGCCATTTGTACACATGTGAACAGTTTGTACTACATATAGTGCGGCAGTTTTACTAATAAGAGTTGTCATTTTTACCACATAGAATGTAGCAGTGTTTATGCACGTAAAGTATTTTTGGTGCGCAGCAAAACCGATTCAATTTTTACTAAAAATAGTTGTCATTTTTTTTGCCACATAGAATGAAGCCATTTTTACAAAAGTAAAGTATTTTTACACGATAGTATATTGTTATTTTGTACTACATATAGTGCGGCAGTTTTACTAATAGGAGTTGTAATTTTTACCACATAGAATGTAGCAGTGTTTATGCACGTAAAGTATTTTTTGTGCGCAGCAAAACCGATTCCATTTTTACTAAAAAGAGTTGTCATTTTTTTTACCACATAGAATGAAGCCATTTTTACAAAAGTAAAGTATTTTTACACAATAGTATATTGTTATTTTGCACGTTATTTTTAGAACATAGATTATAGTCATTTGAGACCTGTAGAGCTGACCCCATCTTTAGCTAAATTTTAAAGAAATATTATTTATGTGATGTAGTCTAAGCATGTGTTCATTATTTTAACAAATGTCTAATTTGCTTCTTCTCCCAGATACGAACCCTTTGACTTTCACAAGGAATGCAGCAGGATGCGATGGGACAGGCTGAGCATTCTCCTGGATAGAATTGCACGGGATAGGAAACTTTTTGGGTAAATTATGAGTTTTACTTTTACACACTTGAGGTACAGTTCCGTTCACAGTATGAGCCACACATCTTTAGTATCAAATGGAGAAGTGTGGCGCAGTAATTTCGGTAACTGACATGAGGGAAAGATAAGGCTGTTGTGCTGTGTATTAGGAGATACTCCGTACTTCACCTGCTCGGATGCCACCAGGCTCTGTGCTGGTTTTACGCATGCTCACACAAGACTCCTGCTACACGTCCCCATCATGCGGCATGCGTCTTGGCCGAAACCGAGCTGGCAGGGGATCTCAGCATTGGTAGCCTCCCAGAGGTGCGGTGTCCAGAAACCCTATGGTATTCAACAGCCCACAACTAGTACATGAGTGATAGTGTCATTTGACAACTCATTTGGTGTTCATGAGTGAAGTCCGCTGGCCGAGTACTGTATTAAATGACATTCCTTGGTTCAAACATTTGTTCAGAAGTCCTACTGTTTGACAAGAACTGGTTCAAATGTCTGCCAACTGAGAGCCCAAATGAAAGACAAATGAGGTTCAAAATTATGTTTATCATGTGTCCTACTATATGACAGCAAAGGTTCAGATGTATTTCGCTTGTAGATCCTACTTTATGTCACAGAAGTTTCAGACGTCCGCTACCATTGACCACATTCATAAGAGTGTAGTGAAAATGTGGAGCAGTCATGCTTGATGCATTTTTCCCATAAATCTGCCCAAAGTGTCCCAGGGCATCCATGTGAAAGTTGCCATTCAAAGTCTAACATAACATGCTGGTGTAACATGCTGAAGATGCGAGGTGCCTGTTTTGGGGCGGTAATCAAAAGTCTCAGATCAGCAAACTGTCTTGTGGATCTTCAAAGGCAGCAGTCCATAATGGGATGAAGGCTCAATATAATGATGTGTGGTTAAGCGGTCATCTGCAGGTCATGGTGATTCCTTGGGTGAGTCCAGTTCCAGAACACCAAGAATGAATGAATAAATAAACATAACCCCACCAGGACAGCACAAGATGCGGTAAAACCCGGGTGACACGAAGTGCCACCATTCTGATGAGAATCACCCGGGCGCATGTCCCAGAAAACCTGTTCAACCGTTAGATTATATTGGGACCCCCGACAACTGCCAGGGTGGGGCTTTAAAATAACAAGAATTTGTATCCCGTAGTGTGACGTCAACAGATATAAATAGCGCCAGGAATTAGGTCTGCGTTTGTGGAGACCTCCTTGAATGGTGAGGAATGCCTATGATCTGCCCCTGCTTACTCTTGAGAGTTGGACCTATCTGCACACGACTGTCCTGGATGAGCTAACTCCTGTAGATCCGGAGGATGAGCAAGTCACCATCTAAAGATGAGGCTATAAAATGTTTCACTGTGTCCGCTGTAACTAACCGGAAAGGCTAACCCGGCTAACAAATGTCAGAAGAAGTAAGATGTTTTGACCCAAGGGCTCAAATGTCACAGCTATGCTGTAAATAGGCACAACATATTTATTTCACTCTGGAAAATTATGAAGAAACCAAATGTAAGAAGAAAATGAAAACTGTTGTTTGTAAGAAAAAGGGGGATCAGTATAGTAATTGTTTAAAAATGCAAAAATATACAAATGAGAAAGATTATCTAAAAGATAATCGACTCCATATATACCATTTATGACCATTATGGGTTGAACAGGATGTGATGTTTTTAACATGTTGCCAAGATCTGTAGACTCATGATCTTTTTTTTTTTTTTGTGTGTTCTTCTACATTCACCCTTGAAAGGGTGATTAGCACATTGTGTTATGGTTTACAGCTAGGCTGTGATATCTGCACCTTTTGGCCCAATGAATCTGATTTCTACAAACTCCTCTTCCACACTGGAAGATTCATCTCCAGATACCCTTGTTCTTTCTCTTACTATTGGAATTAGGATTAACAAGACATTTTATAAATTTTTTTTTCTCAACTTGCAGGTATTTCATGCAGCAGAAAGGTGGCCAGGTGGTCAGTTCCCAGACTGGAGTATTTCGAACCAACTGTGTGGACTGTTTGGACAGAACGAATGTTGTGCAGTCTCTGATTGCCAGGGAGGTTCTGTTTGACCAGTTTGTGGTGAGCTCTGCTTGATTCTTGTCTTTGTTCATTATGATTGTCTTCACTGAAGTGGATGTACTTCTTAATGTTCACTGGCTGTAAACTCTGGCTCATAGTTCTGGACATTTGTCTTGTTCCAGAATCTGAGTTTTGCATCAACATCCCTTTCACAGATCTAGCTTATTAGCCTCTCATTAGCGTTCACCAGCTGTAAACTCTGGCTCAGAGTTCTGGACTTTGGTCTTGTTCCAGGATTGAAGTTTTGCGTGCTCATCCCATTTACAGATCTAGCTTGTTTGCCTCTCATTAGCATTCTTTCTTTCTTACTTAGTGGCTCCTCTTCTACCTTGGGGTGTAGAGGTTTGCCAGAGAGATCGCCAGACTTCTCCATCAGCAGTTTTCTTTCTGGCTTTGTTCCATTCCAGTCCTCTGTTTGTTAGGGACTGTCGGATGTTGTCTTCCTATCGCACCTTGGGTCGCCTTGGAGGTTTGGTGTCCTGGTTATTAGCCTCCCATGCCTGCCATGGTGGCTGATTTTCTCCCATTCTGCATACATGTCCAAACCATCATAACTGTGACTGATCCACTTGGCGGGCTCCTTACGTGTCATGCAGATTCACTCTGACTTTGAAAGAAACATTCCTAATTAGTTGCCTTGTACAACATACTTGTTAGGGGGACAATGAGTCTACCACCCCCCACCCCTGTAATTCTGCCTTGGAACCCACATGGGAAGGAAAGTAGATGTCTGAAGCATAATCAAATTGAACTCATCCCAGTGACTTCATCACAACCATTGACAAGTATATTAGCAGATGTGCAAGAATTAAATGAAGCAATTGTTAGGAATCTGATTCTCGTGGAAGACCAAGGAAAACTTTACGTAGAACTATCATCAGGGAAGGCTCGCTCATGGGCCACTCAAACATCCAAGACCTACAAGGGATTGCAACGGACCGCCGTGCGTGGAGAGTCATGACCTCTGCCCTATGTGCCGCACTCGACACAAGAGGAAAGACTAACTAACTAATTGTTAGGAAGCAAGCATGCACCTGGGGTTGTCAGAAAAGAACAGGCATTTCTTCTTCTTCTGTGTTCAGGGTTAAAAAGGCAGTTGACATGTTTTGCTGTGGCTTACAGCTAGGCTGTAACATCTGCACTTTTTTCCCCTAACATATTCCATCTCATTAAAATTCTTTCCCCGGGTGGGCAGAGGGAAGGGAGGGGCATTCAGATTTACATCCAATTGCTTGGGGAGACTGCAGTTTTCATCCACGTGATTTATTTTGAAGGGTTTATGTTGGTGGAGTTTGAGAACTAGGCATCAGCATAATGCCAATGGTATCAAGGCAAAACTGCATAAACCTAAAAGGAATAGGCAAACAGGCATGCTTTAGCATAATGTGACTCTCTTACGAGACAACACTCATCCAGCAGTGCACACTGTACAGGAAATGTTTGTAAAGAATACGTGGCAAGTTCTGTTACACCTTGTCTGCTGTCCCTATTTGTTGACATTTGACTTTTTTTGGATTTAACTATTATAACAGCTTTCAAGGGAAAATGATTTTTCAGTTACGGATGTAATGATGGCTTATTTTATTAAAAAAAATGTCTACACTGTAAAATGAATCTGGTCGGCACAAATCTTCTTCTTCTTCTTCGCGATCACCGGCTGTAAAGTTTTGTTTCTTCAACCACCTCTGGACTTTAGACTTGTTCCAGAACCTGAATTTTGTGTGCTCATCTGTTTTACAGATCTGACTTATCTGTATGTAGACTGTTGACTCCTTGCCTCTCAGGTAGATGCACTCCGACTTCGAAGGAAACCCCCAATTTGTCGACGCTTACAAAATGCTTGTCGGGGAGGCAGTGGATCTAGTCTTGTTTTCCCCACATTGGGGAAAACAATGCCACTTACCAGCCTGTGAATGCAGCAGAAGAAGAAGAATCAAGCAGAAGAAAAAGAACCTAGTTGTTAATTTAGCTGTGTCGCATTGTGAATTAAATGTGTGGTGTTGCTGATCTAAGATCTTTCTCTTGTGGTTACACTATTTTGCAGAGATTAGGAATTCTAACATCTCAGCACAAGTTGAAAGATGAGACACAGTTTGAATCTGTTTTCAAAAATGGTAAGCTCAATTTATTTAAATCTGGTGGTGTTGGAGAAAATGTCTGTGGCTTGGTTGTTAGTTGCGTATCCTTTACAGGACGTTGCAGTACCAACCCTAACAGCCCCTGCCTGTTGTGTGGTTTCTCTTGGCAAATTTACGTCCAGTAGTTTGCCATTGCTTTCTGGACAGTCGGCTTTCTTGATACCACTGTCGAAACCAACGCAAGGCGCATTGCCCGCAGCTGGGATCGAACCCGGCATCCCGGCATTACAAAGCGAAGCGTTCGCATCGACTTAGCCACAGAGCCGACGGCACTATAAAATTGTGTGTTACAGATATAAGGTAGTCTTAGTCCGGCATAGGTATTGCTAACGTGTATTCTGTTCACTCATATCTGACAGTCCATACACTTCAGTATCTGCTGAGAGTATTTATGAGTTTGTCCCACGAAACTGTCCAACATATGTTTTTGATTATTTATATGTATATATATACATACACACACACACACATGTGCGCGCGCGTACACACACACACACAGAGGGTTTTGATATTTCGTAAATATTTTTGATATTTTAAAAATATATGTTCTTTTTGATATTTAATAAGTATATTTGAAAAGCTTCACTGCAGTTCACTAATTTCACCTCTTGTGTGCCTTGACCTTCAAGAACTGCTGCTATCTGTTTGTGCCTGTCCAGCTTGTCTGCACTGTCTTGTTTCTAATTACTGGTTTCTATTGATTTCATGTATTCTTGTTCATATTTCTGATGTTGTCTGTTCATGTGCTGATGAAGGCTTTCTTCCCTCAACATTCACTTGTCGTTTGCGATAATGTGCAGCTGACTAATTCTACTTTTTTTTGCTTTGACATCTTTTCATTTGGTTTGATGTTTTTGATTTGCTTTGACCTCTTTTCATTTAGTTTGGCCTCTTTTTTGGCATTTAGTTTGACATCTTTTCATTTGGTTCAACATCTTTTCATTTCGTTTGACATCTTTTCATATGGTACAAACATATTTTTATTTGGTTTGACATCTTTTCATGTGGTGCAAAAAAATCTATTCATTTGGTTTGACACCTTTTTAATTTGGTTTGACATCTTCTCATGTGGTGCAAACAAATCTTTTCATTTGGTTTGACATCTTTTCATGTGGTGCAAAAAAAATCTTTCATTTGGTTTGACATCTTTTCATGATGTGACAAAACTTTGTGCAGGGAAGTCAACTGACTTAATCAGTTTATGTCCTTGTATTATTATGATTATGATTGTTATTAGAAAAATTGTATTGAATTTTTTAATGTATAGACATACAGAAGAAACGGATCTCTAATTCCATTCTCCATGTATTGCTTGGTCTACCTTTATCTCTTTGCCGAGTGGGTTCCAGTGTAATGCCCCCCTAGTTATATTGATTCTTAGGTATTCTAAGCGTGTGTTCTATCCACTGCCAGCGTCTGTTTTTCACCTCTTGATTCACTGGAATTTGTTTGGTTCTCTTCCAAACCTCAACATTAGTGATTCTATCATACCATTAAATTCCCTGTATTCTGCTCAGACACCTGTTAATGAATGTTTATGGTCTGTTAGTAATTATTTTAGTTGTTCTGCAGGTTTCCGCTTCGTACAGCAGTATTGATTTGACATTAGAATTAAAAGTTTCAAGTTTGGTACTAGTTTTAATTTGCTTTGACTACCACAAATGTCCTGTGTGATGAAAATTCCTTGTCAGTTGTATTTTATTTTAATATCTCAATCAGTTTCCCCATCTGTATGGATATTATTGGCTAAGTAGTTGGATGACTCCACATTTTGGAGTAGAATATCACCAAGAGAAATTGGTTTCCTGGTTTATTCACATTATCTTTGTCATTCCAGTTTGGACCACATTGTTAGCTCTCTCTTTCAGTAAGCTTAATTCATTTTTCATCTGATTTTTGTGAGTGGGATAGGAGAGAAATATCAGCGAAGTGCAGATTCTCGATCGATTTTGTAGGGTTCCACTGAATTCCATTCCTAATGGTAACTGTTGCTATATTCATAATCCTGTCTGTTGCCAGTGAAACTAGTAGAGGCTACAAAAAGCATCACTGTCAACATCTAGTCTTATTTCGAATTCATCTTAGTTTGTCCATCACGAAGAACTCAGAATTTAATGCCCTTATATGCGGCCTTCACTGAGTTTACAAAATTTCTGTTTGATCCTATAATGTCTCCTCAATTTCCAGAGAGATTCCTTATCTATGCTGGCAAAGTCTTTTACTTAGTGTTCAAATCCAACATAAAGGGGCTGAATTAAATTTGTAGTTGAATTACACCATCACCATGTCTCAAATTGTTAACCTATTTTGTTTCAAACCAGTTTTTTATTTTTTACTTTTCTTTTACAGTCTGGGCAGACAATGCTGATGTTTTATCAAAAGAATATGCTGGAACTGGAGCTCTGAAGACAGACTTTACTAGGTAACTTATCATTTTTGTGCTTTGAAATTGCTTGATAAAAACCTGGCCAATAGGGGACTGCAGATGGTAAGGGGAAGATGGCTTTTATAAACTGGCAGAATTGTTTTCAGGTTTGAAGTACTCTGAAGTCAATCTGGCCTCATTAAAATGGGAACCAGATAAATTCCAGAATTTTCTGGCAAATGTCTTGGAAGGTAAGGCATTGAAGACTGGTGCTGGCCACCCTTCTGTGTATGCTGGGGCCTAAATTTAGTGGTAGAAATCTACTATGGGATTGCCTGTTACTAAGTGATACAACATTCTTCTTGTTTCTTCCTCCTATTCTTCTTCTTTTTCTTCTTCTTTTTTTTCTCCTCCTCCTCTTCTTCTTCTTTAGTTACACTTACAGAAAATTTTGGTTGTTCATCCACTTGTGGACTTTCATATTGTTTCAGACTTGAATCTGTTCACAAAACCAGTTTACATCACCATTCTTGTTTATTATTTATATCGATAAGATAACTAAAGATAAGGCGAACATCCAACACCACATAAACATCCTCAACACAGGTTTGCAAGAAAAATAATATGAAAATAAATACTGAAAAGACAGGAATAAGGATGGTAAGTAGAACATCAGTTCAATGAGAACATCACCATTGTGGAGAGACAATGACCATTGTGGGGAGACATTGACCATTGTGGAGAGACATTGACCATTGTGGAGAGACATTGACCATTGTGGAGAGACATTGACCATTGTGGAGAGATGTTGACCATTGTGGAGAGACGATGACCATTGTGGAGAGACATTGACCGTTGTGGAGAGACGTTGACCATTGTGGAGAGATGTTGACCATTGTGGAGAGACGTTGACCATTGTGGAGAGACGTTGACCATTGTGGAGAGACGTTGACCATTGTGGAGAGATGTTGACCATTGTGGAGAGATGTTGACCATTGTGGAGAGACGTTGACCATTGTGGAGAGACGTTGACCATTGTGGAGAGACGTTGACCATTGTGGAGAGACGTTGACCATTGTGGAGAGACGTTGACCATTGTGGAGAGACCTTGACCATTGTGGAGAGACCTTGACCATTGTGGAGAGACATTGACCATTGTGGAGAGACGTTGAAACAAGCTTATGAGTTTAAGTACATAGGCAGTACATTCACTGAGGATGGAAGATTGGCAGGGAAATTGAAGAGTACAGATATAAATGCTTGAGGCATCAAAATATCAGCTTGCAGACCAACAAGTAGCTGATGTAAATGCCTGTCATATCAACTTTGTGCCATCAGTGTCAGACGTGGACAGTCCTTAAAAAACATTAGGGCAAAGTCACAATATGTGAAATGAAATGTTTATGAAATGTGGCGGAACAACAGGAAGAGACAGAGTTACAAATGATAAACTAAGAACGATAGAAGGCACATTACCAATAAATGATCTCATAGAACATAAATAATCAAATGGTTTGCTCGCCTGATCATAGTGAAAAAAAATTAGCAGCTAGATTATACTACATGAGAACAGCATCCTGCATGACAAGAGGCCCACCAGGAAAGAGATGGGTGGTTGAAGTAAAAGAGACACTAGAAAAATGCAGTGTAACATTAACACAAGTTTATCTCTGGCAGAAAGACAGTAAACTTCATCTTACTCCTCTCTGCGACACTTTATGGCATAAGCAATAGGACAGAAGAAAGAAGAAAAGATCCTGTTTACAGATCTAGCTTTTTGTTTTTTTAATGCAGACTGTTGGTTCCTTGCCTCTTACCCGTACTTGACTACAGGTTACTTCCTAACAATTCACTGTAACTGTGCTTGCTATATGGTTGTACTGTTGAACAGGGTTCCTGGGGGGGGGGGGGGGGGGGTGGAGCCGCATGAGTGCAGTCGATAGAAGGCTCGCTTTCAAATCCAGCTGCGACTTGCTGCAGCCACGGCCGATGTTCGAAACTGGTCGGTTCCCGGGGTTCACCCAGCCTCTAGGAAATGGGTACCAGAGTGACACTCTGGGGTAAATGGAGGAACGTCGCTGTAGCTACAGAGTTACATGCGGACGGCGACACAGGCGGACAGTTTCTTATCAGCTGTCCGTACTGGTGGCAGAGCACTTATGGTTTATAACTGTGCAATGACGCTGGTTCACATCTCCCGACTTTACCTTTTACCTTTAGGGTTCCTGAGATTTGTAGCTGTTTGATTCTCATCCTTGGGATGATAATCCTATGGATTGCAAATCTGGAGGAGTAAAACCTTTCCGACTCTGAAGGAAATATGACTGATCAGTCGTCGCCTTTTATGACCTGTTCTTTAGAGAGGTAGGTAGTTGGGCCTGTTCTTTTTCCTTCTAAAACGGTTTCCCTGGAACTCACACATGGAACAAATTAAACATAAAACCTTCAACTGAACTATGCAGAGAAACAAATCAGCTATTAGCTTGGATACAGTGATAATTTAAGTTATTTGCTCCTGTTTTCTAGGACAGGACGACGAACAGTTTCTGGTGCCTTACAAGATGGCGTCAATTCAGTGTTCCGATACTTTAGGAACAACTTTCAGGATGGAAACCGACAGGTGAGTATATTATCAGCCTCATTGCAAAGTAAGGTCCCTTTACCCGCCAGTGGCGCTTCGGACATATGAGGCTAGACCTAAATTAGTATACACCAGCCGGTCCTTGATGGTGGAAATAGTCATCATCATGCTGTACACCTTTACTTTCCAGAACTTTACTTGGTGCCAGTTCAAGACTGAGTCAACCTGGGAGCCAAGGTTGCATGTGACAAACATCTAGCTCCATGCGGATTTGAATCACGACCTTCAGCTCCTCAGGCGAACATGAGCTTTTTTGTAGTGAAGTGATTTATTGTCATCTTTGAACGGGCAGGACAATTGTTGGGTGGCAGTGGTTAGATGCTTCTCTGCCAGCCTAAAGGTTTCAGGTTCATCACTGCATTTAAAAAAAAAAGAAATTACCTTGACTTGCACGACGACGACGCAACCTAAAATGGCTACCAGAAAATGTCCTAAGAAGTAAAACTGAGGCTGACATGATGTTGACTGCAACACTCATCCTGTGCCGGTTGGACTTTTTAAAAATATGAATCTGGCATCATATGCCAGGTTGGTTCCAGGGCCCCATTTTTAGGGGAAAAGGAATACACCCACTGCCCCTCCTTTCCCCCTCCCCCTCTCAACAGGCATGCTGTAAAAGACAACTGAATAGGGGCTTATTCCTCCAAAGTCAATGTGCATCTGCCTGTGAGGTTAGGAACCAACAGTCTGCACACAAGACAGATAAGTAAAACAGATGTGCACACAACTCTCAGATTCTGAAACAAGACCAAAGTCCAGAAGTGGCAAACAGCCAGATCTTTCCACTGGAGTTTACAACTGGGGAACATTAAGAAGAAGAATCAGAAAAAGAAGAATGGGCAGCGTTTTCCATTGAACTGTTGGTTTACAAAAATGTCATAATGTAGATAACATCAGCAGTCAGTCATCATCCCATCACATCTCGTATCACTAAACGTTGTTCACAAAGATGTCATTATGTAGTCATGATGTAGATGATATAAGTAGTCACCCATCATCCTGTAACACTGAATGCCGATCCACAAAAGGTGTCATCAGTAGTCATCCATCATCCTGTAACACTGAATGTCGATCCACAAAAGGTGTCATCAGTAGTCATCCATCATCCTGTAACACTAGATGCCGATCCACAAAAGGTGTCATAAGTAGTCATCCATCATCCTGTAACACTGAATGTTGATCCACAAAAGGTGTCATCAGTAGTCATCCATCATCCTGTAACAATGAATGTCGATCCACAAAAGGTGTCATCAGTAGTTCACCCATCATCCTGTAACACTGAATGTGGATCCACAAAAGGTGTCATAAGTAGTCATCCATCATCCTGTAACACTGAATGTGGATTCACAAAAGGTGTCATAAGTAGTCACCCATCATCCTGTAACACTGAATGTGGATTCACAAAAGGTGTCATCAGTAGTCACCCATCATCCTGTAACACTGAATGTGGATTCACAAAAGGTGTCATCAGTAGTCATCCATCATCCTGTAACACTGAATGTTGATCCACAAAAGGTGTGTGTCATCAGTAGTCATCCATCATCCTGTAACAATGAATGTTGATCCACAAAAGGTGTCATCAGTAGTCATCCATCATCCTGTAACACTGATTTGTTCACAAAGATGTCATGATGCTAGCAGTCACTTATTATTCTGAATCATCTTGAAACACTGAAAGTTGGATCACAAAGATGTCACATTGTTGGCATCAGCAGTCATAAATGAAGACCAGTTGATGCGGCACATCGGAAAGAGCACAGAGGTGTTTCTCACTTTCCCACTGTACCAACAGTTTGCTGAGCTGGTAACTGGAGGAGGAAGAGAAGAAGTATTATTCCATTTTAGATTTACATGAAATAAATATTTATCATTAAGTTTCCTTCTAGTTTCCCAGATAATGGCAAGTTTGCTAAGACTCTTTATAAATTTTAACTGCCAAAGGATCTACATCAGCCATGCAGAATGTCCACTATTCCCCACTCTTATCTGAGAAGGCTAGGTGTGCCATACACTATACTTTAGATAAGAAAGGCTAGAATTTATATTAAACATATTTTTTTTTCAATTTCTGTATTCCTGGTTTAATTGCCTGTTAAATTGCTGTTTTCTCCAGGATGCCATAGATTTGTTCCTAGGCAATTACATTGTGGAGGAAAACGAAGGTCTTACAGTCAAGTCACCTCTAGAGTCAGACAGAGACTGGAAATACTATGCTGTAAGAGTCTTGTTATGTTAGTTGTTATAAATATTTATGCTATCTATACTATTTACACTATGCTATCAGTGCCAAACGTGGACACTTACATCCTCCAATGAACGTAAAATTGGGACAGTAGAGATGTAATACCTTAGAAGAGCTGCAGGAGTTTCAAGGAAAGACAGAATACGAAATCTGACGAATGCTAGGAATAAAGCCAATCTTACAGGTCATCAAGGAACAACAAATGAAATGGTTTGACACCTAACAAAAATGCCCTGGTACTACCTACCACAGGGAGCCCCACCGAAACGTTACAACTGGTATAGAGCAAGTGGAAGACCTAGGAAAATATGGAGTGATGGCATTAAGAACAACCTTACAGAAATGAACATTAATCTTAATAGTGCTCTTGACAGAGCTCATCAACGAATGTTACATCCCCCGACACTACGCTGAGGTACAAGGTGGAAGAGAAGAAGAAGAAGAAATATTTATGCTTTGTTTCATTGTACTCTACACATCAGGATTCAATAACTATGGCTGACAGTTAAGGGGGGAAAAAAGATAGTTTATGGTTTTCAGTGATACGTGAGTACCATTATGGAAGATATTGGGTAGACAAAAGTAACATGAGAATGAAGGTGTGTTTGTATACTTATGAATGTCTTGTTCTTTGTGATTTATTCTTGACTTAGTCCTGGTCATAGATTATTGTTGACAGAAATGAAAAGTATGCCATAGACAGAAAAATAATAAGAGTCCAAGAAACATAAGAATTCTTTAGAAAAATTATGTGTAGACAGAAGATTTTTGAATTGTGTGGTGACAAAAACCAACTTGTAAAATAATGTCAGTTGACAAAATTTATGGCAGAAGGAAAGCAGAGAGATAAATAAAGAGGTAAATGAAAAAGTTGAAGGCAAGCAAGCAAGAGGCATACAGCGATACAAATGGGAGGATATCATCAAGAGATGGACGAACATGTGTTTTTTTTCACACAAAATTTGTGGACTTCCGTTGCAGCCAGATTTTATTACGCATGTCCTAATTGTAACTTGACTCACAGAGCATGTTGAGAAAGTTGAAGACAGACATGCTCCATGCAGAGTGGCAAGCATGGCTTTAGAGGTCCTGGGTAGTTAGCGTAATTTAGATATTTGCTCCCAGGCATGCGGGTGTGTTGGGAAACGAACAGGCAGTTAGACTGGCTGGTTCTGCATCACTTGGTGGTGAATTTGTGTATGACAAGCTGGATATTGCAGTTTTTTTCACAGATTCCCAGGTCTATTTTTAGGGTTAAGGATTGTAAGCTTTGTTCAACACTTAATGGGTGCCCAGCCACTCGGTGGATCAAGACTGACCTATTTAAGATATAATTTCCGTGAAATGAAGTCTGTATTCTAACCTTAAAACACCCTTGTACGTTACTAACCAGCCCTCTTCCCCCATCTTTTTTAGCTTTTACCCTTACAAGGGTGGTTAGTAGGTTGTATTGTGGTTTACAGCTAGGCTGCAATATCTGTGCCGTTTGGCCAAGACAATCTGATTTCAGCAAATCTTTAATTTATCTCTGTTAAGGGACAGTAGATTTTGCTTGTGTTTTTGTTTCCACTGTAAGGCCTGAAACCCACAAGGGGAATGGATTTGCTCACATTTAATGTGTTGGGTCAAAAGGCAGAGATTTGACCTCTAGACTGTAAACCACAACAGGAAGTGCCAACCACCCTTTCAAGGGTGAGCTGCAGCAGCAGGAGAAGAAGAAGAAGAACTAACAAAACAGTTGCAGTTAAGTCAAGTCCATTTCTCATTATTTACTTTTCCATTGTAACTATCAAACACAGGTTCCGGTGATCCTGGTGGTTGCCCTGTCAATGTTCATGGTCAGCGTCTTGTTGCCAGATGGTAAGTAGCTTGTGGATGTCCTGATCAGCAGAATCTAGTTTTTGCAGTGAGACAAAAATTAGTCCCACAACAGACCTGGCCAAACTGTTTCAGTGTACCTCCTATTTTTATTTTAAAAAACAGTTGTCTGATGATTATGATCTGTTCACTAGCGTTTTCATTTTAAATAACCTTTATTTTCCCTAATTCTTAACTTGTCTGTGTGGGTTTTTTTTTAACCCTTTCACCTGGAAACCCTTTGGAGAAAAAAGCCTATAACCCAGGAATTCCTGGGAAAACAGATGCTTAAAAAACGACACAGGTCACTAATATATATTTTTTTTTAAATTGTGTTCTTTTAAACGGTTTTTAAAGAAATAAATTAAGAGGAGTAATCATTAAAAATGAACAGTGCAAAACTGATACCGTACCGCCTTAGGATGAGAAGATTAATTCTGCATTTGAAATATCCAGGCTTTTAGAAGTTATAACAGTGTAGGCTGAATAAGTATTTGTTCTCTCTCTGTTTCCCCCCTTCTCCATGTTGCCACTTTAATATTTATTTGACCACTCCTGTGATTCAAAGAGTCACATCCTGGATGTCAAACAAACTGGGCAAATCACAGATGCCCTGCTCGTCCTCCTTGGGAAACTATCAGGGCAGCCACGATGGCAACACCAACTGGTACAGTCCTGAGTGGCTAACAGTCTATATTTTCTTCTGGCTAGATTTCAGACAACCTAGGACCTAGAATAATGGACCCTTTTAGCACAGTGATGCAGCAGGCATTTCATGTTCTCTCATTTTCTCTCATGTTCACCGGCTGTAAACTCTGTCTGAAAGTTCAGGTTGTTCATCTACTTCTGGACATTGGTCTTGTTCTAGAACTTGAGTTTTGTGTGCATATCTGTTTTAAAGATCTGGTTTTATTAATATGCAGACTGTTGGTTCCTCCTCTGTCGGGCAGATGCACTCCGACTTCAAATGAAACACCCCAGTGGGTCTGTTATTTTTTCCCCCAAAATGCAACCCTGGAACCCATATCGAAAGCATCACGCATATGATACTGGATCCATGTTTTTATAGGTCATTCGACACTCAGTGGGTGAATGGGTCTTTATCACACTGGGCCATCTTGACTTCCCAGGACATTGCCTGGAACCCATGCCGAAAGCATCACACATATGATACTGGATCCATGTTTTTATAGGTCATTCGACACTCAGTGGGTGAATGGGTCTTTATCACACTGGGCCATCTTTACTTCCCAGGACATTGCCTGGAACCCATTTTGGGCTGGTCGATATATGGCCAAGGGCAGTTTTAAAAAAAAAAAAACCATTGTAGTGTGGATTTGAATCCACAACCTTTTGGCTGGCAAGTGAGTGTCTTTCAAAGAAAATCTACCAAGTATGTACTATTTATAGTGTAAGTGATTCTGGCAAAAACACGTTAGGATCGGATTTGATGCTACAGAGTGTGTGCCCTAAGCTCAATTTCTCTTAGAGTGACCTGAAAAATAAAGATATCATTAATTTTCCACACCCAAGTGGCAGCATCTGCTATGGGACTAATCATTGTTTTTTTTTTTCTATATTACTTTTCTTACTAAAATGTTTTTGGCTGAGCATCTCCCATCTGCATGCAGTTTTTGTAAAGATCTCCACAACAAGTATTGTTTATGCAATCTTTCACTTTGAAGATCAAACTAGTTTTATTGCTCGACACTCATCGTCATCCCCTTGTGGGATGCAGTTTTTAGTTATTTTGAAGCCCCACCCTGGGTCCCTAAATATAGCCGGGCCTTAAATATGGCCTAGCCGCTGAATTGGGTTTCTGGACCTCTCCACGGGTGATCCTCATCCGCATAGTGGCACTTTGTGTCATCGGGTGTTTATCGCTTGTGTGATGTAAACGCATTTCACCTGTCTTCCATGTCTTTAAGGGTTTTCCAACTTTCACCGTGATATGTTAAAATTAAAAAAAAAATTAGAATTGAAAATACCTAGAAAGGGCTAACCCAGTAAACAAATACGACATGAAGTCGATCGAACGGCACAAATGTTGCAGCTATGCTGTGAAACGGGCACAACACAACTATATTACTTGGATGAATGAAAAAAGAATTTAAAATACGTAACTTGGTTTTAAAATTACGTAATTTTAGTATTTAATATTTTGTTTCGACTTTTCAAAGCTGCTGTTGCCTTGCCAACGTATGTCGTTGTTTCTTGCTTTGTGTTTCCTTGACTATCCAAATTACTACCTGAAAAAAAAAAAAAAGGTAAACTGATCTATTACTTTAATTCTTTTTCGTCTTTAGTGTGATATTTGCTTGATCTGTAATATGGTGCCAGATTTTTTTGGTAGTAGGTTCTAGCTAAACTGAAAAGTGCAGTTTTACATGCTATATTGATTGACGTTGTTGGCACCTTTTCATCCTTCCAGGCTGTAATGTTATATTGTGCTATAAAGGCGACATAGGAATCACTGTCCATGGCGATGGCGAGTTTGATTAGCAAAACCCACTTGTTTTAAAAAAAAAGTCATCCACCATCATAAGTGCATGAGATTCAAGGACTACTGTTGTCAACATCTGTATTTAACATACTTTTTCCGAGATGCTCAGATCTTGACTTATCTGCAGTCCCCTTGTTCTGTACCCTTGTTCCCCTCCTGATTGTCCACTACAGGCAGCATAGTCTATGGCATCCTATTCCTATTAATCTGTCTCACAACTGGTATTATTCATACCCCGTTTCCAAACATCTTTATATCACAGTAGAGGCTGACATATATTCTCTGCACATATGTAATTCACCATAGAGAAGATCCTAAGGGTTTCTACCCTTCCCAATTGTGTCCTGTCGACCTTCTTCTTCTTCTATTTTTCTTTTTACTCACCTGCTGTAAACTACAGTGGAATATTCTGGTTGTTCATCCGCTTCTGGACGTTAGTTTTCTTCCAGAACCTAAGTGCTGCATGCACATGTTTTACAGATCTGGTTTATTTGAATGCAGACTTTTAGTTCCTTGCCTGTCAGGCAGATGCAGTCTGATTTCAAGGGAAACCCTGAATTAGTCTACTCTTATGACATGCTTGTTAGGCAGTCAGTGGGTCTATTCTTCCCCACCCCCATCTGCACCTCCCACAGTGGGACCCAGAACCCACACGGGAAGGCCTAGCAGTCTGAGCCTTTAGAGATTGAGCTTTGAGAAAACTGAAGACTTCTGCAGTCACCCTCAAGAGGCATTTGGCATGTAGTGTTGTGGTTTACAGCTAAGCTACCATATCTATGTCTTTTGCCCTAACATATCCAGTTGCAGCAAAACCTTAATTAGTTGCCTATTATGAAGGGACAGTGGGTCTGTTTTTCACTCTTTAAAAAACATTGGTGCTCAGAACCCGGACAGGGAGAAAACCAAAGTGATGCCTGCTCTTTCCAGTACCTCTGTTGGTACCTATGAAGAGTAGATTATCAAGCTTGGCCCTTTGCTTGGGTAGAAAGTCCATCCTCTACAAGTAATAAACGGGAACTTTTGAAATAGAGTTAATCATTATCATCCTTGTTCTGTCATGACCATGTGAATCACATAGGGCTCGTAGTCTATTTCTCCATTCCATTCTGTCCTGCGCAGTTTTAGTATCATGGATATAGTCCAGTCAGGCACCTCTGACCTCTCCGCAGTGTTTGCTGTAGAGTTTCTTCAGGATGTCCTCGTTTCTCAGTCCATTTGTTTCCTTCTTCTCAGGCTGTATCCGATATAGCACTATCTTCTTTATCATGTGACTGTTGATACCATTGGTTGTCCTGACTCTTTTCAAATGTCTTCACTTTTCTTGTATTTACCCCATTTAATGTTCATCTGTGTCCTGTAACATTAAAACAGAATTAACAGCCGTGCAAAAACAAACATGAATGTTTGCATTCAGTGGGAGATGCCAGCATATATTAGTCTAATTCTTCATTCTGAAGATTTGCCTCTGAACATTCGTTTTGAAAATAATAAAGAGCTTTTTCTTTTGAAACCAGTCGCATGGTATTGTTAAACTGTGAACATTGTTAAGTAATGCTGAACAGGATGATAAGAATTGTGTTATCATGTTGATGTGCAGGTGGGAAACGGCTCAAACGAGTGAGTACATAACTCCCCCCGAATGCTCATTCATGTCGCTGTTTGCATTAAACAAATCTTTTGCATTTGTAAAATTTCTTTCATATTCCAGAATTATTATTATTATTTTTTAAATTAATTAATTTATTTTTAATTCTGTGATCTGTGTTCAGACTGCTTTTGCCACTTTTATTCTAGTTTTTTTTTTTTTTTATTTTAATTTTGTAAAATAAAACATAGAACATCCTCGGTTTAACCAATTTATCTGTGTGGGGCCCTGTTTTGGCGGAAGGGGGAATACCCACTTTCCACCCGACAGGTATGTCGTTAAAGTTGAAAAATTATGGGCTTGCTGAAATTGAGTCTGTGGGACAGATGGGTTCAGATTTTGCCACCTAGCTGTAAACCACAATACAACATGCCAACCACCCATTTAAGGGTGATTGCTGAAGTTTAACCAGTAAATGAGAGCTTAGATAATTTGCAGGAGGGGGTGGGGGGGTGTCTGTTACATGCAGTAAAACCTATGGGTCAGTTTTTTTTAACTATTAATGTGTTTTTTTTTTTTTTTTTTTATATAGAATTGTTTTAACACAACCTTCAAATATAAGATATTTTTTGTTAAAAGCCCAAAATTAAGAAATACTTATTTTAAGCACGTTCTGTGTGTAAAACGACCCCCAATATTAACCATTATGGAACATTTGTTTATATCGGCCACCATGGGGGTTCTTACTCTTGACAGCTTTTTAAACCTGCAAATTTGTCTTAAAAAAGGCACCAGGAAATTTGCGGTGAAGTAAAGATGACTGACATGAAATTGAACGCAACATCCAAAGTGCTAATATATATATATATATATATATATATACACACACACACACACACACACACACACACACAC